CCAATACCACTTTGAACTTTTGTTATTACCCAGTCAACACCTGAAATTGGATATCAAATAAAAGAATTAGTAATAATTGCATTGATTTTGATCAAGTAATAATTCAGGTCATATTTTTTTCGAATTTGTTTTACAATCATATCCGTTGAGACAATGCAGTACATTGCACCTTCATACAAATCAGCATTATCATAAGTACGTTTTTTACGATTGCATTGCAGAGATGCATGTGCTTGGACACTGCTTTGGGCAACGCCTTGGTTAATATCTTCTCGTTTTGCTTCAGTTACAGAAATAATTACGTCTCCCATTTTGATTACCCAATCTATGGGCCCCTTTCCATGACTTCCAGAAACTTCATACTGGGGATAAACTTTTACAGTACCATCGAAGATGGATGCCACACCATATATAATCGCAGAAATAAATTCACAGCGGGTGGCCTCATTCGTGCTAATGATGGGTGGAGATAAAGGTACATTTCCATATAATATCATAATTTTTTTGACATTAATATTAATTTGAAATTTTTTTCCTGTTAGCCCACAAACTTCGCTAAATCGCGTATAATCGTTCCAAAAAACTTATCATCAAACCTTTTCTTTGCTAACTATCAATCTCGTTAATTCTCTCAGGTAGACATCAATAAATAAAAAAATTTCATGTATTTTATAAACGCGTTAAAATATATTTTAAAAACTAAAATGATTATTTGTTTTTTAAATTTGTATATACAAGTCATTTATTGTGTTAAGCAGATTTTCAGAATTAGTTAAAAAGTTAAAGAATCATATCCAATTTCTGAAATAACACCACAAGAACTTCATTCATCACTTACTTCCTCCTCCTCTGCTCTTTCTAATTCACCTACTCCGCCTACTCCACCTGCATCACCTGATACTTCAACTCCTACATTGAAACAACCTCCAATTATTATTGATGTGCAAGAAAAAGATGAACAATTAAGAGGAATTATACCCTTTACCACGTGGTGTATTAGAAAGAGATGTCGAAAGAAAAGTTATAAGTGTTGAAGAAGTTAATGATTTGGAAAATGGAAGAGAAATTGTTGTTTATTGTGCTGGCAGTTTAAGAAGGTAATTTTTTTTTTAAAAAAAACAGTCTGTTTTTTTTTTTTTTTAACAAAGTTTCCAAATTTTAGTATTCTAACTATGCATGTTGCCAATCTGAAATTTTTAGTAACTAGTGTTTTTAACTCTGGCCGGAATTATCTGGAAAATTATTGAATTAAGTTGACTACCTGCGGTGACAATCACCAGTGGTTTTATAGCAGTATACTGCGCCAGACTTTTATTGTGATACATGTGCATGATGATTATGGAGCTGATATATAGCAAGAACCAGCTATCGCCTAGGTTTGACGCTAACCAACCGGTCATGTTCGATGACATACAGTATTTGGTCACATAATCGAAACGCACCATTAATTTTTGTTTGCGAAATTATTCTCGATTTCATAATTTTTTTAATTGATTATGTGATCAAATTTCAAGTAAATATTTTTTTTTAATGTTACTCACAGGTAAGCATTTTGAGTATTACAACAAAGAATTCTAAACATCGCATGCATTCACAAATTCCATGAATTCCAATCGGGATTAACAACACAATACCATTTACTACATCTAGCCTACCCGGCACATATTTTAATATTTGTTTACGAACTAAAAATAAACTAGTCGTTTTGTTTTAGCAAACCATATGGTCGATTACATTGATTGATTTGATTGGTCTATTCAATGAACATGCGTACAACAAGGACAAGTCTAAATATATCGCTGGTTTTCATATAAGGTGCTAGAACTTCTCTTGTCAGTATTCCATATTTTATCCTCATCCTCAACGAATTCAAAAGGTTATAACAATTTATAGCAACAATGAATCGTCAAACTTTTAATCTAATCCTAGTCGCTCTTTTGGCATTGACTATTATTGTTGGCGCCCATAATCATCATCATAACCATCATAATAATCATCATAAAACTTGCGCTACTGAAACTAGCTCTCATACGGTAACTGTAACTATAACTAAGGCCTCACCCACTCCCACTCATGAATCTGATCACATTAGTTGTCCTGTTCGGAATGATCGGCGTCGACATAACCAACATCACCACGATTATGACAATGATCATTGTACAGTCACCTGTACACCTACAACTACTCAATACTCTACACCAACTCCGAAATGTTGTGAAGCTCCTGGTGGTCCAGGGTTTCAAAACAAGGCTCATACTATAGATCCTTTAAACGTAGTTGTTATTCCTAATATTGCTAGCGATATAGATTGCTGTAAGGCTTGTTTTGATAAACCGGAATGTATTCAATGGGCTTTTTTCAGCGGTCAATGTTCAAGCCATGAAAATAAAGTAGATGTAAATGAGATTTGTGCGAATCCTGTAGTTGATACCGGAGCTTTTTTCAGTGCTGGAATTGTTCGTTGTAGTGATGATGGTAATTGTCTAGCATAATCATAAATTTATAATATTATACTGTATTAGAATAGAATAATCAACATTATATAGAATAATTTTTTAATACCAATAATTTTGCAAGTTGATTAGCGTTAGTTATGTATTTTACTTTATCTTT